CCTATGGGGCCACGAAACGTGTGAGGGGTGTGCCAGAATGGGGGGTGGAACCGCATGCGGGCGCAGCCACTGGGGCCTTCGGTGGAGCTCCCTATGGGGCCACGAAACGTGTGAGGGGTGTGCCAGAATGGGGGGTGGAACCGCATGCGGGCGCAGCCACTGGGGCCTTCGGTGGAGCTCCCTATGGGGCCACGAAACGTGTGAGGGGTGTGCCAGAATGGGGGGTGGAACCGCATGCGGGCGCAGCCACTGGGGCCTTCGGTGGAGCTCCCTATGGGGCCACGAAACGTGTGAGGGGTGTGCCAGAATGGGGGGTGGAACCGCATGCGGGCGCAGCCACTGGGGCCTTCGGTGGAGCTCCCTATGGGGCCACGAAACGTGTGAGTGTGCCAGACTGGGGGGTGGATCCGCATGCGGGCGCAGCCACTGGGGCCTTCGGTGGAGCTCCCTATGGGGCCACGAAACGTGTGAGGGGTGTGCCAGAATGGGTGGGTGGAACCGCATGCGGGCGCAGCCACTGGGGCCTTCGGTGGAGCTCCCTTATGGGGCCACGAAACGTGTGAGGGGTGTGCCAGACTGGGTGGTGGAACCGCATGCGGGCGCCACTGGGGCCTTCGGTGGAGCTCCCTATGGGGCCACGAAACGTGTGAGGGGTGTGCCAGAATGGGGGGTGGAACCGCATGCGGGCGCAGCCACTGGGGCCTTCGGTGGAGCTCCCTATGGGGCCACGAAACGTGTGAGGGGTGTGCCAGAATGGGGGGGGGAACCGCATGCGGGCGCAGCCACTGGGGCCTTCGGTGGAGCTCCCTATGGGGCCACGAAACGTGTGAGGGGTGTGCCAGAATGGGGGGTGGAACCGCATGCGGGCGCAGCCACTGGGGCCTTCGGTGGAGCTCCCTATGGGGCCACGAAACGTGTGAGGGGTGTGCCAGAATGGGGGGTGGAACCGCATGCGGGCGCAGCCACTGGGGCCTTCGGTGGAGCTCCCTATGGGGCCACGAAACGTGTGAGGGGTGTGCCAGAATGGAGGGTGGAACCGCATGCGGGCGCAGCCACTGGGGCCTTCGGTGGAGCTCCCTATGGGGCCACGAAACGTGTGAGGGGTGTGCCAGAATGGGGGGTGGAACCGCATGCGGGCGCAGCCACTGGGGCCTTCGGTGGAGCTCCCTATGGGGCCACGAAACGTGTGAGGGGTGTGCCAGAATGGGGGGTGGAACCGCATGCGGGCGCAGCCACTGGGGCCTTCGGTGGAGCTCCCTATGGGGCCACGAAACGTGTGAGGGGTGTGCCAGAATGGGGGGTGGAACCGCATGCGGGCGCAGCCACTGGGGCCTTCGGTGGAGCTCCCTATGGGGCCACGAAACGTGTGAGGGGTGTGCCAGAATGGGGGTGGAACCGCATGCGGGCGCAGCCACTGGGGCCTTCGGTGGAGCTCCCTATGGGGCCACGAAACGTGTGAGGGGTGTGCCAGAATGGGGGGTGGAACCGCATGCGGGCGCAGCCACTGGGGCCTTCGGTGGAGCTCCCTATGGGGCCACGAAACGTGTGAGGGGTGTGCCAGAATGGGGGGTGGAACCGCATGCGGGCGCAGCCACTGGGGCCTTCGGTGGAGCTCCCTATGGGGCCACGAAACGTGTGAGGGGTGTGCCAGAATGGGTGTGGGAGGGGGAGGAGGGGGGGGGAGGAAGGAAGGAGGAGGAAGAAACGCGGGGAGACGTCTCTTCAAAACGAGGACCCAACACCACAGGATAGTTGGGAAAAAAATGCGCCTCCACATCCACCACCTCCTCTCCTCCTCCGCCTCTCTCTCTCTATTCATTGGCCTTGACGTTGGCCTTAGATTGCCAATCGGCCCTGTCGGGAGACAGTCCTAGCCCTCGCCGAGGGCCGTTGATTAAAGCTGCAAACGGGGCCTATGTACCGATGGCCCTAAGTTCGAACACCTTCGCTACGCAATTGAAATACACATTCGTCGGCAATTCGAGTGCGTAGAATAGGCAGGTACCTCATGAGTTGTATGCACGGTGGCGCAAATCATTCGCTGGCCTGATGAACGCAAAATCGTCTTGAAACGGCTGCCATTTCGAAGCGACCGGCTTGAAGAAGCCGGAGCCCTCAGTGGGGTGTGCGAGTAGGCATGGAAGCAACAACTCCCGCCCACCCCCTTGCACTCCTCATGATACGCACCCAAGAAGGGAGAAGGGGCGGGAGGAGGGGGAGAACGGGACCATTGAACAACTGAAGGGCGGAACAGGAGGGAAGCAACGGTTAGGCAACGCCTCTCATACCGACCCTGTATGATGTCCATCGTGTGTGGTTGTGATGCATAACCGATCGTAAACAACACAATCGTATATCTATATGTACATACGCACATGAGAATGCATATACATGTGTGTTTGCATATGTATGTGTATAGGTGTATGCATACATACGTATACGAATATATATATATATATATATATATATATATACATACGTATGCATATGTATGTATGTATGTATGTATGTATGTATGTATATATATATATATATATATATATATATATATATGTGCGCGTGTGTGTCAATGTATGCGTATGAGTGTATGTACATGTATATGAATGTACAAGTATGTGGATAATTAATTGTATGTATGTAGGCATGGGTGTACGTATATATTCATATATATACACATACATACATATATATGTATATATATATATGTACCCCCAGCTGTCTGGACCTGCCATGCGCGGAGCGCCTCGATCTTCGAGGCACGCCGACTTTTTCTGGAAGAGAGCTCGCCACCAGCGACGCGTGCGACAGAAGCTTGCACCTCGAGGTTAGCACACGCCAAGGGCTGGCCAGGAAACGCGGACAGATTATCCTGGCGAAGGGCCCAACCATACGCAATTCCGAATGCCGCCGTTGTAAGTATCGTCGTTGGTGGAACACCCGATGGGGCCACGAAGCGTGTGAGAGGTGCGCCAAATGGAGGTGGAACTGCATGCGGACCCTGCCACTGGGGCCTTCGGTGGAGCACCCTGTGGGGCCGCGAAACGTGTGAGGGGTGCGCCGAAATGGAGGTGGAACTGCATGCGGACCCTGCCATTGGCGCCCTCGGTGGAGCTCCCTATGGGGCCGCGAAACGTGTGAGGGGTGCGCCGAAATGGAGGTGGAACTGCATGCGGACCCTGCCACTTGGGCCTTAGGCGGAGCTCTCTATGGGGCCACGAAACGTGTGAGGGGTGTGCCGAAATGGAGGTGGAACTGCATGCGGACCGTGCCACTTGGGCCTTAGGCGGGGCTCCCTATGACGCCACGAAACGTGTGAGGGGTGCGCCGAAATGGAAGTGGAACTGCATGCGGACCCTGCCACTTAGGCCTTAGGCGGAGCTCCCTATGGGGCCACGAAACGTGTGAGGGGTGCGCCGAAATGGAGGTGGAACTGCGGATGCCACTGGGGCCTGCCACTGGTGGAGCTCCCTATGGGGCCACGAAGCGTGTGAGGGGTGTGCCGAAATCATGCGGAACTGGGGCCTCGGTGGAGCTCCCTATGGGGCCACGAAACGTGTGAGGGGTGCGCCGAAATGGGTGGTGGAGGCATGCGGACCCTGCCACTGGGGCCTTCGGTGGAGCTCCCTATGGGGCCACGAAACGTGTGAGGGGTGCGCCGAAATGGAGGTGGAACCGCATGCGGACCCTGACACTTGGGCCTTCGGTGGAGCTCCCTATGGGGCCACGAAACGTGTGAGGGGTGCGCCGAAATGGAGGTGGAACCGCATGCGGACCCTGACACTTGGGCCTTCGGTGGAGCTCCCTATGGGGCCACGAAACGTGTGAGGGGTGCGCCGAAATGGAGGTGGAACCGCATGCGGACCCTGACACTTGGGCCTTCGGTGGAGCTCCCTATGGGGCCACGAAACGTGTGAGGGGTGCGCCGAAATGGAGGTGGAACCGCATGCGGACCCTGACACTTGGGCCTTCGGTGGAGCTCCCTATGGGGCCACGAAACGTGTGAGGGGTGCGCCGAAATGGAGGTGGAACCGCATGCGGACCCTGACACTTGGGCCTTCGGTGGAGCTCCCTATGGGGCCACGGAACGTGTGAGGGGTGCGCCGAAATGGAGGTGGAACCGCATGCGGACCTTGCCACTGGGGCCTTCGGTGGAGCTCACTATGGGTCCACGAAACGTGTGGCCATGATGGAGACGGCGATGATGATGACGACGATGGTGATAAGAACGATGATGATGATGATGCTGATGATGACGGTGACGATGACGATGATGATGATGATGCTGATGATGAGAGGAGGAGGAGGAGGAGGAGGAGGAGGAGGAGGAGGAGGAGGAGGATGATGATGATGATGATGATGAGGAGGGAGGAGGGAGGAGGGGGAAGAGGAGGAGAGGAGAGGACGCGGGCACCGTCTCTTCAAAACGAGGACCCAACACCACAGGATGGTTGGGAATTAAAAGAAAAGAGAAAAGGGGAGGGAGGGAGGGAGACTTTGAGCAAACAGCCATGGATGGACGGCAGGGCAGCGACAACTAGGGATTCAAAGACGTGTGGAACACTGAACTGTACCCCCAGCTGTCTGGACCTGCCATGCGCGGAGCGCCTCGATCTTCGAGGCACGCCGACTTTTTCTGGAAGAGAGCTCGCCACCAGCGACGCGTGCGACAGAAGCTTGCACCTCGAGGTTAGCACACGCCACACCGGACCGTGCCAAAAAACACGAAGTCGAATGGCCGCAAGGCCGTCATCATTTACTTATAGAGTGTCACATTGACAATTTGGACGCCATGGCTGAGACCTTACGGCACACGATAGCCTCATCGAATGCGCGGGCTAACTGCTGACACAGGCGGGAGGGATACGCCTCGGCTACGGCGGTCCAGAACCGTCGATCGGGCGCACGCCCCTCCAAACCTTGGTGGGGCAGTCCTGTACGACTGCAGCAGCCTTGAGTGCGCTGGCACAGTTTCACCAAGGATGTCAAATCAATGTAAGTACCTAAGAAGCTGGTGCGCTTCCGCCAGGGGGTACCCCACTGGCAGAAATCTGTACTGACGAGAGACCATCGCGTGGACCTGACAAGCGAGGCGACTGGCGGCGCGAGCCAAAGTCGAGAGGTGGACGGGTTTTCCATCACACACGGCACCTGCATGCGACGGGCGACGGTTAGAACCGAAACACTGAAGCGCATCATCTGATTCCCAACATCTACAGCGGCTTGTGCCGACGGTATCAAGTTGGGCAAGCCTAAGACACATGTGTCCGAGCGGAGACGGGGAGGACCAGGTTGGATATCTCTGGCGCGTGACCAGCTGCCACACGGCGTTCCCAGATGCACACCTAAGATGAGTCCCGCTTGGATCCAGCCCCGAATCAGACGTTGCCTCGAAACGTCACGGAGATCAAACAAGGGCCCGTGCTTAATGTCCCACGCAAGCACATGATACCCCTTTCGCGCCATCGCTCGTGCGAGGCGCCCAGACCCTGAAAAAATCTCTAGGAAAACTCTCACAGTCAGCGAGCCAGGCACTGCAGGGCAGCGAGCCTCCCTCAGAGAACCTCGCGGAGCACGCTGAGGCGGTCCAACACGGGGCTCTCGTCGAACTCTGCCGTCTCGCAGGGCCGCGACTCTCCGCCGACGAGTGGATGTAGCACCCGGGCCCAGTCGCGGCTGAGACGCGGGTCGCACCATTGTAGGGCGGCCAGCATTTGAACTCCGTGCCAGGAGTCGACGCCCTCCAGGTACTGCCCCAACATCCTCTTCGCGAGTCTGTCGTCCAGCGCGGCGGCAGCCTCGGGAGCCAGTGGGATACCCCTCTGGCCGTCGAGGGAGAGCATCGGCTGCGTATGTAACTCTTGCTCGGCCAGCCAGTCGTTGGTCTCGGCGCCCACCGGCTGGAACCTGGACGTCACTGTCTGCGTCCGCACTGTGCTCAGCTGTGGCACGTCCAGCGTCTCCGCTTCGGCCAGCGTGGCTCCGCCCCGGGCCAGCTTCCGCCACTCCACCACGTTGGCCGCAGGCGTAGCCTGCGCCGTGAAGGGCGGTGGCGAGCCAGCCAGGGCGACGCAGAGAGGCCTCCGAGGCGACGGTGCCGACGTCGCCCGGCTCGGCGGCGCTGCGCGGCTCCGCGGGACCGAGCGGGCCTCCTCCGCCTGGCCCGCCGCCCGGCGACGCTCCAGCCTGGCCGTATCCAGCGCGAGCATAACCAGCGTGCCGCAGCCCTCGCGAAGGTCCGTCGGCAAAGTTCCACTCACTGGGCAGCCAGCGGGCACTGAGCCGGAGCCCCGTCGCCACGACATGTGCTGCCACGGAGCGCAGCGCGCCGCTGACGCCGGGGGCCGAAGACCGGCCCTTGCCCAGAGCCAAGACGGACGAGAGGGAGTCGGAGAGCAGGAGGTGATGACAGTCAAAGGCCTTCGTGGATCTGCAGATGTGCTTTACCCCAAAAGCGATAGCCCTGGCTTCCCCCTCCACGATGTTGTCAGGCGGAGATCCCCACTTGTGCGAGCCCACCACCGCCCAACCTTCGTCACGAACCGCTTCGGGAAGACGACCAGCGGCCCGCGTGCGGGCCTCGTTGCTAGCCTCCTCATCCCCCACGAACTGCTGGAAGTCCTTGGAGCTCTCTAGAGGCTTTGTCATGATCCCGTCGTCATGGGAGCCTGCAGCCCAGGCCCTGGAGAGCACCTTGTTGTCGCCCAAGAAGCGCCACCGTTCGGAGAAACAGCCCATCGAGCCCACGAGGTCCTTGTCGAGGTCCTTGCAGACCAATCCGAAGCCCCAAAAAGACGCGTCCGTGCACATCACCTTAGGGCTCCATGACACCTGCAGCTTCCTGGAAATCAGACACAGCAAACTCGAGAACGTACTTAACTCCCAACGGACGGACTCCCAGAGAGGGACCGCGGTACAGTGGCCCAGCCGCCGAATAAAAGCATAGACGGACCTGAAGATCGACAGATGCTCACGGCAAAGCAGCGCTACAAAGGTACAATGACCCAACACCTTCTCAACTTCTTTTGGACTCACCACGGCCTTGCTTGTAAGACAATCGAGCGCCATGCGAAGCCTCCACAGCCTTGATCTCTTTGGTCGAATCTCTCTCTCTCTCTCGCCCACGAATCTCCCACCCCAGGATGTCGGCGTTATGATCACACATACAGACCTCATGAGTGGGTAACCCTCTGGACGTCAAGGCTGCGTTGACGAGCTTCACAGCGCGGGAAACGGCCTCGGGATCTGTACCCAAGGCGAGAAAATTATCCACATATACGGTCATCGCCAGTGGCTGCACCGGCGGCGCTACACTCTTGTCTGAAATGAACGGGACGTCGAGCAGCGCGGGGATGGAGCTCACGATCCCGCGGTGAATGGTCTGGCACCAATACAGCGCATGCGACCAGCCCATGGGCAGCACCGCCAGGACTGGCCACACACGGCTGCCAGGCGCGAGGGACCTTCCACCTAGGACACTCAGCCCCATATCACCTGCCTTCACCGCTGGCAGCGCGAAGTAGTCCCGAAAAGCCTCCGGCAATCCAAAGTGATAGAAGGCGTCGCAGATATCCACGTGACCGACGTAGAGCTGCTCTCCCTCTGGCACGGCTAGCTCTCCAAGTGCAGAGCCCGTCGCCAGCGCGACTGTCGAAGGCCTCTTGAACCAGCAGTTAGCCCGTCGGCAGTCAATAACCATGCGCTGCTTGCCAGACTTCTTACGCACGAAGAAGAGGCCGCACCTCTCACGTGGCGCGGCAGAGAAAGTCACCATCCCCGCCGCATGCAAGCGCCGCACCAACCCAGTATAGGCATGTGGCTGAGCGCGGAGGACAGCATCCATGTACGGCTGTCGCGGAGCCTCAGAGAGGTTGGAATCCGCATCCTTGCGTGGAAGGAGCTGCTCGTGTATTGATGCCTCGACATCTAGATCGCCCACGCCTGCAACCAGCTCCCCAAGCGGCACAGGCACGTTGCCGGCCTCGGGCAGCGAGACGAGGGAATCGTCGAAGCTGACGACTGGCGAGTCGATGTCCTCGTACACGCCAGCACCGCGGAGCTCACGGAGGGCTCCTGCGGGAGTGAGGCCAGCTGGCGGGGGGCCCAGCGCGGCGGCAGCATGACGAACTCGCTCATGTACCAAGCGATGGGGTAGCCGCTCCGCCAGGCCAGGAGCTCCGGGCGCCCCTGGCCGACCAGCCAGATCATTGAGGGCCCCCAGGGCGCGATTGGCTTCAGCCACTTGAGCGTCGCGCCGCAGAAGCCGGCGCCGCACCGAGCGGTTCACCACGCCCTCTGCTGGAGCCTGGCCGTCCCGAAGTAGCGGGACAGGAAAAAGGTCTCGACGGTCTGGAACTCCGTCGAACTGAATTCGCCCAGGTAAGCATGCAGGAGAGCCCTTGGGCTCGGCGGCCTTGAAGCTCGAGAAGGAGGCGGCCGCCTTCAGGCCTCCTTCCCGCGACGCCGTCATGACTTCCCTCCGCCGCCGTCCCCTTTGGGACCTTTGCGGCGGAGCTCTCGTTCTTCTCGGGCCTTCCTGATGTTCTTCATGATGGCGGCGTCCTTCTCGACCTGGCCTTTCACGAACTCGAGGAGCGTAGGGGCCACCATTAGAAGGTCCCCAGCCTTGCTGAAACCGCTGAAAGCCGAGAACTCCTCGGGACTCATCTTGTCCTTGGAGCTAGCCGAGTCGGCCTCACGCAAACGATCGTGGTAGCTCCACTCGATAGTCTGCGCCCGCCGAAAAATGGCCTCGGCGAAGGCACAGTTGCTGAGGTCCAGCTGATCATAAGTGCCCGCCAGCTCGATATACTTCATGAGCTGCTCATGCTCCTGCACCCCCCACTGCTCCGACTGGAGCCTCGCCGTCGTCTTGAACATCAGATGATGATCCGTAGGGGTGTGCCGCCGCCGCAAGAAATCCAAGCACCACCAAGCTGACCGAGGCCCTGCCACGGGGAAGTCACCAAACGGCTCCTCCTCGCAGGCGTCCACGACCTCGCGCCACTCTCGGCCTCGGCCCCGCGGCCCACTCTTCACCGTCAGTGTTCGGGCATCTCCTCCTCCCCCGTTCCCGGCGCCAGCGCTCAAGGGGTGGCCCTCGCCACTGCGCAGGCTCATCACGAAGGAGTCCTGGTCGAGCCCCGTCAGGTGCACCACCACGGCTCGCCCGGGCGCTGCGAGGTACAGCCCCTTGCCGCAGAGAGACTGCGCTGGAGGCCCCAACTCGTCTCCCAGAGCGATGCGGCAATGCTCGTCGGCCTCGGCTGCTCGCCATACACGGCCGCTCGACCGTGGCGTGCTGGTCCCCTCAACCGCAGGCCCCGGGGCGCCGCTGTCGCCGACGCCCTCCGCGGCCGCCGCAACCGATCCAGAGTGTCCCCCGTGGTCGCCTCCGAGGTCCAGACCAAGAGGAGGTCTCTTGCCCGTCATCCGTCGGCCCCCGAAGAAGTTGGCCCCGAACGCCTCCTGCACGGCCACGTCTCGCCCCGCTGCAGTTCGCACCGCCATCGGCGTCTCCAGCTGCACCCCGCGCGCCTCCGCATCGGCTTGGGCGGCCGAGAAGGCCCGACGATAGAGGCCCTTCATCACCTCCTCCGTCGGCGACTCCTCGAAGCGATACGCCCGCCCAAGCCCACTGGGAAACCGCAAGTCCCGCGGCATCTCCAGCCACTCGACGGGGCTGTCGTCGGGCGACCCTCCTTCAAGCTCCTCGATGTACATGTCACGATCGGGGGTGTACACCACCCAGCAGGTTCCTGGAAGCCCGGCGCCAGCAGTCTCACTGGCTGCTGGGTACAGCAGGATCCGCTCGTGCCAGAGGTCGTCCCCTGCGTAGCGCACCACCGCTCTGCAGCCCGGGAGAAGCCGCCGCGAGGATCCCCTGGGCACCAGCGCCATCGCGAGGCTCAAGGTGAGCTGACGCGGCGCGGCTGAGGCGTCCGAGTCCGAACCCCGCGAGCAGCGCGAGCAGCACCAGTCCTATCGCGGCTCCCCCGCCGACACAGCCTTCCACCGCCTCGCGCAGCGCCCCCACGACCGCGTCGGCGACCGCGTCGCACACCGGCCCGCCCCCGGCCGCCAACCAGGGAGGGCTGCCTCCCCCGCCGCCCCCGCCAGCCGGAGCCCCGCCGCCCCCGCCTCCCTCCCCGCACGTGCAGAAGCACGCGGGGCAGGGCGGGTACGGCGGGCAGGGGGGCGCCGCAGGGCAGCTGGGCAGCAGCGCCCACGATGCGCCAGCGTGGAAGCCCGCGCGAGCAATCTCGCGGATACCCGAGGCGCTGGCCTCGACGAGTGGTCGCAGGGCTTCCTTCATGCCCTGGAAAAAGACTTTGAGCAAACAGCCATGGATGGACGGCAGGGCAGCGACAACTAGGGATTCAAAGACGTGTGGAACACTGAACTATTTCTATTGCCGGAGTATCGTTCATCCAATGCGGTCGTGGTAGTGTGGGATTCGACATCACCGTGAACCTTGGCGGTCCCACGCTTTGTCAACAACCCTTCTACTGTATCTTAAAGTATGGTACTCGAAAAGCTCGGCGGACCGCATAATCAACGACAGTTGGTCCGACTTGTCACTGCCATCTTCTTTAAATTTAATGGGATTCACACACGAGGTCGTTCTAGTTCGGACAACGGACCATCGGCACCTCGATGGATCCCACTCCCGTAGCGCGCCTTCTATCCTTTTCAAGGCTGTATTGCTCAGAACAATAAGTCGAAATGCTCGGTATTGGAAAGTTTGTCCTCTTGTGGTCGGTGGTCGGCCAGTGGGTGGTCGGTGGTCTGCTGGTTGGCGGTCGGTAGTCCGCTGGTCGGGGGTCTGCTGGCAGCTGGTCTGTGGTCTACTGGTCGGTTAGCCTGCTTGTATTTGGGTGTGCTGGTCATTGGTCGGTGGTCTGCTGGACGGCGGTGGTTGGCTTGATCGGCTTGTCCGTTGGTCGGTGGTTTTGCTGGTAGGTAGCCGGTGATCTGCTGGTCGGCGGTCGGTGGTCTGCTGGTCGGTGGCTCCGCTGGTCGGTGGGTGGTTGGTGGGTCTTCAAGAGTGGTTTGCGCTAGTCAGAAATTTGCTGGTCGATCGTTGTCGGTCTGCTGGTCAGTGGTCGGCGGCTCGTATAGGACGAGACAAATCTATTGACACAGCATGCTATTGACACGGTCTGGAGATTCCGTGATTTCTAAAAACCTTCGCGACGGCTGCACTTTGCGTCGAGTATTGTCTACTCTCGCTGGCGCCGCTGGTCGGTCACCCATTCGCAATCGAGCGGTCGCCCGTAAGAAGCTATTTGGCACTTGCTGACCCCTCTTTTTCGTTGCCGGGCGCGGGGGGGGGACGGTGGCGCGCCGTCCCATCGGCCGCCGCCGCGCACCGCGCGCCTCGGCGTACTTCAAAGACCCGGCAAGGCAAATCACGCGCGACTCTGGGAAATTCTCCGGGGGTAAAAGAGATCAAACCTGGAAAATTGTTCGAACGTGTCCTGCCTACTTTTTGAAAAATACCAGAAGCGTTTTTGACAATTTCCGGGGTCGATTTTGACAAATTCCGGAATCCGTTTTGAAAAATTCTGGATTTCAGAATTCTTCAGAAGTCCTGCGCGGCGGGAGCATTCCACCCCTGAAAACTGGTTTTTTTTATGATTTCTGGGCTCCTTTCTGAAAAGCTCCGGAACCGCTTGCGCAAAAACAAAAAGCGGCAGCGTTTTCTGACACATTCTACAATCCAGAAATCATGTCCGGGCGGTCCGACGGGCGCGGCCGGCTGATTCACGCGCCGCGCCGCGCGCGATTGGGCGCAGCGCGCGCCGCGCGTTGCGCCCGCGAGCAGCACTCGAAGGGGCGACCTCGAAAACAGCGCCACGGCAGCTGCGACTCACGGCCTCCACAAGAGCAACACAGCATGCAGCTTGGAATCCGCCGACCCCTTGGGTAATCGGCGTGTGAGATGCTTCCCCCTCCCCAAACCCCTGCCCCGGGAACCCGGTCCGGTCGATTTGGAGGGGGGGGGGGGGTGCCCACTACGAGCGACCCCACGACGCTCTTCCGGGCCCAGAAGGGCACAAATACGGGCCGAGAAGGCCCCAAGAGGCCTCCCAGACGTTCCGACAGGCCCCCAGACGCCCCAAGAGACCGCCTAGACGCCCTAAGAAGCGCCCGCGAGGCCCCAACAGGCTTCCAAGACGCCCCACGAGGGCTCCAAAACGCCCGAAGATACCTCCAAGACGCCCCAAGAGACCTCCAAGAGGCCCCCGAGGAGCGCCCCAAGACGCCAAAATCGTTGATTTTCATTCTTTTTTTTTCTATGTTTTCTTCATTTTCGCCTTATTGGCCTTCCGACGCTCCAAGACAGCCCAAAAAGCTCCCAAGACTGCTCCAAGACGGCACAAGAGGCCTCCACGACGCCCCCAAGACGGCCCAAGAGAGCCCCCAGACGGCCCAAGAGCCGCCCAAGGCGGCCCAAGAGAGCCCCCAGACGGCCCAAGAGCCGCCCAAGACGGCCCAAAAACCTCCCAGAGACGGGCCCAAGAGGGGCTCCAGAGAGAGACCACGCACAGCAAAACCCAGCCTTACGCCCCAAGAGGCCCCCAGGAGGCCCCGAGAGGCCCCAAAGAGGCCCCAAGAACCCCCCAAGAGGCCCTCAAGACGTTCCAAGAGGCGCCCAAGAAGCCACAAAGAGGCCCCGACCCCTTAGGTAATCGGCGTGTGAGATGCTTCCCCCTCCCCAAACCCCTCCCCCGGGAACCCGGTCCGGTCGATTTGGACGGAAGGGGGGGGTGCCCACTACGAGCGACTCACGACGCTCTTCCGGGCCCAGAAGGGCCCAAATACGGGCCAAGAAGGCCCCAAGAGGCCTCCCAGACGTTCCAAGAGGCCCCCAGACGCCCCAAGAGACCGCCTAGACGCCCGAAGAAGCGCCCGCGAGGCCCCAACAGGCTTCCAAGACGCCCCACGAGGGCTCCAAGACGCCCGAAGATACCTCCAAGACGCCCCAAGAGACCTCCAAGAGGCCCCCGAGGAGCGCCCCAAGACGCCAAAATCGTTGATTTTCATGTTTTTTTTTTTTTCTATGTTTTCGTCATTTTCGCCTTTTCGGCCTTCCGACGCTCCAAGACAGCCCAAGAAGCTCCCAAGACTGCTCCAAGACGGCACAAGAGGCCTCCACGACGCCTCCAAGACGGCCCAAGAGAACCCCCAGACGGCCCAAGAGCCGCCCAAGGCGGCCCAAGAGAGCCCCCAGACGGCCCAAAAGCCGCCCAAGACGGCCCAAGAACCTCCCAGAGACGGGCCCAAGAGGGGCTCCAGAGAGAGACCACGCACAGCAAAACCCAGCCTTACGCCCCAAGAGGCCCCCAGGAGGCCCCAAGAGGCCCCAAAGAAACCCCAAAAACCCCCCAAGAGGCCCCCAAGACGTTCCAAGAGGCGCCCAAAAAGCCACAAAGAGGCCCCCAAACGGCGCCCAAGAGCCTTCGAAACTGCTCAAAGAACCCCGTAAAACCCCCCCCCGCAAAATCCCAACGGACATCTCCGAACACACCGGTTTTTCGAGTCGCGCCCAGCCCCATAACCCGGAGCCTCATATCCGTGTCCCCCTCCTCCTCCAAGCAGTTTGAAGTCCTTCCTCTTCCTATCCCTTTCCTCCTACATTTCCTCCTCGTCTCCCTCTCCTCCTCCATCTCCCTCCTCAGCAACAGACAGATACCCCCGGACCCAAAAAACACAATAACAGAAAACAACATCAAGAAACCATAGGGAAACAGCATGGGAAACACAACGTGCAACCACCAACTACAAAAACAACATCAAAACGACCCCTGTCAGCCTACCCATGATTACAACATCAAGAAAACTTTAAAACATGGCGCTAGCTTCCCCTTACCAGTACACAAAAGGCAGGCAGTTTGAAGTCCTTCCTTTTCGTACCCCTTTCCTCCTATATGTCCTCCTCGTCTCCCGCTCCTCCTACATATCCCCCCTCGACAACAGACAGATACCCCCGGACCCAAAAACACACAATAACAGATAACAACATCAATAAACCATAGGGAAACAGCATGGGAAACACAACGTGCAACCACCACCAACAAAAACAACATCAAAACGACCCCTGTCAGCGCAACCGCGCTTACAACACCAAGAAAACTAAAAAAAATTGGCGCGACTTTCCCTTTACCACTGCACAAAAGGCAGGCAGTTTGAAGTCTTTCCTCTTCGTACCCCTTTCCTCGTACATTTCCTCCTCGTCCCCCTCCCTTCCTCCATGCCCCTCCTCAACAACAGACAGATACCCCCGGACCCAAAAGCACACGCAAGAACAAAACACAACATCAAGAAGCCAAAAGGGAACAGCATGGCAAACACAACGTGCAACCACCACCAACAAACACAACATCAAAACGACCCCTGTCAGCGCACCCGCGCTTACAATGCCAATTTTTTAAATATATAAAAAGTGCGTTACTTTCCCCTTACCAGTGCACATCTTTCCCCCTGCACGACTCGGGGGGGACTCCGTTCCCCCTGGATACACGCCGGAGCGCGACTCGGGGGGAACACCCTTCCCTCTGGATGCGCGCCAAGCTCTTTCCTCCTGCGCGACTCGGAGGGAACTCCGTTATCCCTGGATACGTGCCAAAAAAACGGCTCGGGGAGAACAGCCTTCCCTCTGGATAAGCGCCACACTCTTTCCTCCTGCGCGACTCGGAGGGAACTCCGTTCCCCCTGGATACATGCAAAAGCACGACTCGGGGGGAACAGCCTTCCCTCTGGATACGCGCCAAGCTCTTTCCTCCTGCAAAACTCGGAGGGAACTCCGTTATCCCTGGATACACGCCGGAACGCGACTCGGGGGGAACATCCTTCCCTCTGGACACGCACCAAGCTCTTTCCTCCCGCACGACTCGGAGGGAACTCCGTTGCCCCTGGATACGTGCAAAAGAGCGACTCGGGGGGAACAGCTTTCCCTCTGGATACGCGCCGAGCTCTTTCCTCCTGCACGACTCGGAGGGAACTCCGTTCCCCCTGGATACATGCAAAAGCACGACTCGGGGGGGCACAGCCTTCCCTCTGGATACGCGCCAAGCTCTTTCCTCCTGCACGACTCGGAGGGAACTCCGTTCCCCCTGGATACATACAAAAGCACAACTCGGGGGGGATAGCCGTCCCTCTGGATACGCGCCAAGCTCTTTCCTCCTGCACGACTCGGAGGGAACTCCGTTCCCCCTGGATACACGCCGGATCGCGACTCGGGGGGGACAGCCTTCCCTCTGGATACGCGCCAAGCTCTGTCCTCCTGCACGACTCGGAGGGAACTCCGTT